AATTCCAGGTAGAATCACAGAATCACAGAATGGTTTGGGTTGGAAGGGACCTTAAAGATCATCCAGCCCAACCTCCCTGCCATGGGCAGGGACACCTCCCACCAGACCAGGTTGCCCAAAGCCATGTCCAACCTAGCCTTGAACACTTCCACAACTTCCCTGGGCAACCTGTGCCAGTATCTCACCACCCTCACAGTAAAGAATTTCTTCCTAATATCCAGTCTAAATCTGCCCTCTTCCAGTTTAAAACCATTCCCCCTCGTTCTATCACTACCTGCCCTTGTACAAAGTCCCTCCCCAGCTTTCCTGTGGGACCCCTTCAGGAACTGGAAGGCCGCAATAAGGTCCCACTTGCTTTTGATTTATAAAGTATTTGTAAGTGTCTACAATGGGGATGATATTATGCAGGGTCATCTTTTCTTTACTTGAAGATGTAAGAGACTCTTCAATAGAGAGCAATTCTTGCTTGTCAGGAATAGCCCAGGTGCTTTTTCTTACCTCACTCTGGAGAAACAAGGAACAGCTGAGGTGACTTCTCATGTCCAGTATTATGTTCCTAGGACTTGCCTCAAGTGGTCTGATCTATAGAAAGTTCTAGATAACAAGATTTGTTTGCATACGAGAGGTACTGATCTCACCAAGTGCAAATATCCTCCTCATAAAGGACAGCGAGTCATGGCTGTGGCCTCTCCTAAACAGACCAGCTGAGGGGTTGTTGAATCTGTAAAACTCAGAGAGAAGCAGGTTAATGTCTTCCTTTTACCTGGGGAGGGGAAAATACATATATTAAAAGACTGATTTAGTGCAAGCACAGTGCAGTTTTCACTGTGAAAAAAGGAAACTTCTCGGTCAGCTTCAGCAAAGGGTGTAACCCCATGTTTTGTTCTATTTCTGCAAAATCTTTCCAGCACCTGCTCAGCACATCAGACTGAGTTAATCTCTGCCATTTGTACATGCACTAAATGAGGAGCTTAAAAAAACATCCCCCAGTTGTGCTTAAACAGACGAGATAAGAAATGCTGGTGGTTTTCATTTTCCCACTTTAAACAAACAAAAAACCAAGTGTTACACTTGCAAGTTCTCTTGGCAAGCATGAAAGCAATATATTTGTAAGGAAAACAGAGATGCTTAGTTTTGTAACGATATGAGCTGGAGGGAAATCACAGGTTATGTCATGATGCGTGCTGTTATCTCAAGAACTGACTGCACCGTGGACTGGCTGTGTGAAGTGGGTAGGTGAAGTTATACTTATTACTGTGCTTCTAGGGAGAATTAAGCTAAGTCTAATTAAAGTCACTTATATCCAGAACGTGAGGGCTCAGCTTCATGGGGAAACCAAAAAATGAGAAGCCCCTTTGCACCAGAGGCTTTGCCCACGGGCATGCCTTTACCCTACTGCAGTTAATGTAGCTCTCCCATGGCTGAATCACCTTGCATTACACCAAGCCAGCTTGAATTACAGGTAATTACCATGGCTGGACTAGCAGGCAGCCCTTTGCCAGCCTGAAGTAACTCGTGCCTGAGCCCAGAGGCTACACTTGTGCCTTCACACCTATGCTTTCCACAGCAAGTGCCCTGGGGTTCAGCTGGGAGCTGCTCTCGCACCTCTGTTTTCCCACCCAGGGGTCCAGGACGTGAGGGAAGCCACACACTATAGAGAGGTATCATCACATACAAACCTACACCTGTTTCAGGAGGAGTTTCAGGTTGACAACTATTAAAGACATGCAGATGCCTTAGCAGGGGTTCTGCAGTTGAATGTGGAGCGCCCTGGGCTCCTTCCCCTTGGAAGGGGATGCCACACTGCTGATGCTGGAGCGTGGTGCCAAGTGACAGCTGAGCCCTACCCAAAACCTAGCCCAAGACATTGCTTTCTCCATAATTGGAACTGAGCCTGAACTGCGATTTGGAAATGTTCTTGAAGCGTGAGTTGAAGGAGCACTGGTCACAGCTGAACACCATCCAGCAAAACCCCATGATGCTCCGACTTCCTACAGAGAGAGGAATTTGAATCACTGTAATTTGCATGCCAGCTTGCCAGGAAGAAGACATGAGATGTGCGAGTTCATATATTTATTAGTACTCACTCTATCTCCCTCTCTCCCTCTCTCCCTCTCTCCCTCTCTCCCTCTCTCCCTCTCTCCCTCTCTCCCTTTATATATATATATATATACACACATATACCTTTTCTCATTGCCTTCCCTTTCAAAAGCTTTTCTGCCACACTCTTCTGGTTGTCATATAAGATGTGCCATCAGCACCTGTGATAGCCACCAATCCTGCCCCGGGTCTCCCCAATTTTGGTGGCAGGAACAGCCTGGCCTTTCCTCTTGAATGTGGCAGGCTTTTATTTTGCTCCATTTTGCTGTTATTTTGGGGAGGTATCACGCTGACCCTGCGATCCCAGTCCCTGCTTGCTTGCAGCCTTGGTGGGCAGCTGTGGGGAGCTGTGCCCGTGGGCCAGCTTGGAGTGGGCAGGCCTAGGCCTGGCTCCTCACCCCTGTCCCAGCCTCCCCAGGGGACACTGGCAGCTCCTCAGGGGACCCAGTTCGTGTCTGGGGGATTTTTTCCCCCCGGTGAAAGTGTTTTCCAGCAGGACATAGCCACATGGGGAGCAGACTCTGATTTGCCCTGTGCTGGATGATGCACATGAACAGAAAAATGATGGTATGAGAGGTCTTCCCTTTGCTATCGAAAGAGATTACCAGGAAAAAAAAGTCACAAAGAAAAAAACAAATAAAACAGAGAAGATTGCCATCTGTGTTTGAGCCACCTAAACCATGCAAACCACAGAGAAAACAGCCTGTGACAGGTCTAAATAGGCTGGGGTCCAGGGAGCACACACCCACCTCAGCCTACAAAAAGCCCAAAGCTTACTCGTGTGTGTAAAGACCAAGCACGGGGTGCGGTGGGCATGGCGTTTGGGCTGACCCCCTGCAGCGACTGTCCTGGTGAGTTCCTTCCTCGCTTATTAACCTCTGTCTTTCCCAAGTGCAGCCTCCATGGAAAGGAAACTGAATTACAAATTGCCTTTTTTAAAAAGAAACCCAAACAAACTGACAAAAAAAACCTCATTTGCCATTGAACTCACCCAGATACAATGGTCTTTTCAACTGCAATTTAAGGTGGGTCCGACAATTAAAAGAAAATAACATGCACAGGGTACAGGTGACATAGGTAAAAGCCAGGTACTAAATTTCTACCTGTACTCGAAACCCCAGGGATCAGCATAATTCTGGGTGTAGTTCTGTGTCTTGATAGGAAACTTTAAAACTATGAGCACATATTTATGACTGGTTTTATGTCTTCAGTCTATTAAAAAAACCACTCTGTGTCTAGACTAATGTTCTTTTATTGCAAAGATCTCATGCTGCCAACCTTGCTCCTGAAGAAATCCATTAGAGTTTATTCAGGAAGATATAACATCAGAAAGATTTGCCCCCAGTCTGTGCTTTCTGAACACAATAATTTCTAAATAGATGAAAAAAAGGGCATTATTTTTTTATGACCAGGATATTTGCTGCAAACATTCGCTTCGGCATCAAGAGCAGATGAAGGGATCAAAGCCAGTTTGGGCCAGAGGGTGCCATGAACACCCTCAAGATCCCCAAAAGCAGCCTCTCTCAGTAACCTGCCTTTGCTCCTGATCTTGCTAAGACAGCTGGCCCTAACGCAGGCCACGGGGAGCAAACTGCACCCTGCATCAGCTCCTGCCCCAAATATTAGTAGG